ACAAAATAAAAATAGATGACATTTGAAGACTGTAATATTCAATAAACATGTTTGTAGTGTGAATTTTATACAATTTTAATACGTCATTTTTAACATAAAATTGTACAAGATTTATGAACGAGTCGGAAGATGTAATAAAATTATAGTTTGTAAAAGTAAAAATTTTGTAATTTGATGTAAAGAAACAAAAGATTGATCTGTAGACGAAAAAAAGAATAATTGCTTATAAAGGAAGATGATTATAATTATTTGTAGATTGATATAAGAGATTTATGATCAACGCGTTGATATTGTCAGCGGTGGCCATTATCGAATATCTGCTTTTGTTCAGGGCGAGAAATGGCACAACGCTATAATTAAACCAAAACTTTTAAATTGTATTTAATAACTGGTTACGTTTATGCGATAATAGAGAATTATATATTAGATAAATAAATGAAATAAAATAATTAATAACTGTGTAATTTATTTCACTTAATTAGTCCTTAATCACACGCAACGGAAATATTCTATGATTAATAGAAAATGTTCTATGTAGTAGCATAAATGAATACATTTAATAAAATGAACGTAGTAAAAAGTGTTGGATAAAACACGTACACGGAAATATTGAAGTTTTAATTTTGTAATGGAATATTTCCTGGATCACAATTTTGATAATATTAATACGAAAATTTAATTATATTCATAAAACACGTGGGTAGAATCTTATCCACTGCTAAACGATAAATATTAGATAATGGAATTATACGAAACTTCGTGGGTTTATGTATGATAACGATATTTCCTTAGTGCACTGCTTTATCATTGATGAAAAGACGGAGTGAGCTGTCCGGAAATGGGACCATAAATGATAAAATACTCCCAGTGCTAAGTACTTCCTGTTAAAACCATAAAATTAGAACAAAAGTTATGCAAATTTGCAGAAACGGAAGTATTTATTTAACACTTGGCATCTATATTTATGGTAGAAAAATATCCCAATTTATGTAGCACTATTGAAGTATTTCTTGACTGCAAAAGAAATCTTTTATTATTCACAAAATACCCAATCAAAGAAGAGGAACTGTTTCGTGGTTAAAGTATATTTTGTTTCAGTCGAAACAGCTTCTGTAACACCACACCTTTATGAAAATAGTATTTATAGTTTATTATCGTAGAGTCTGGTTTCGATCTACACGTGCGTCCCTCCATTCTATGCCCTTGTCAAAAATCGTGACGTGTCCTGTACACCAGCACAGAAAAAAAACTTCCTGAACCAGCCACTACGATACACAGAACAGAGATTCACCACTGATAAACCTTAAAAGGCACTAATAGTTTATTTCTAGGAAACAATTCTAAACTAAATTAATGCTGTTTAATCAGTAAGAGTTTCAGAAGCACTTAAGTATATACAAATTATCATTAGGATACTACATCTCAAAGTACTCAAATGAAATAAAAATATTTCTTTTTTTTGTTTTACACTTGTAACATTAATAAATTAAAAGTAAGTGAAAAAGAATGAATAAGTTTCTTTTATAGACAAAATCAAATCAAAATTTTGAAACATATAGATTTGTAAAATTGTAATGTATTTTAATACTTTTGCGACGACAACTGAGTCAACTGCTATTAAGGGTAATAACAGTTGAAGATCCCTGCGCATGCATTTGAAATCTTTTTTATTTGTTATTTCCACACATCTCACCCTTAAGTCGCCCTTTTGGCTTTCACCGTCGAATTCAGACGCCGTAGTATTTCGTGAATAGGCACCACTGTTGAATTGAAATGGTGTATGGGCTCATGGGTCTATGCATAATGAGTTCATTCAGAACACGCGGCAGTGGTTGTCCGGCGACTGACTTGCAAGTAGCAAGTAAAAATTTGTAATACATGATAAAAACGCACGACGAAAAGGAAGCACTGCATTTGAAAACACTGTGCAAATTTTAATGGTCCATTTTAAACCTACGATGTAATTTATGGACGGCGAGAAAAAACAGCGTCTGTTTTAATTATATGGAACACATACTTGTTAAAATAAGACTATTAAAACTATGTCTCATTACTTTTTTCACAACATTTATCTTCAAACATTTTAATATATGATTTTCTCCGCTATTGGTCCTTTTTTTATTATTATTGAATACTTCAGAATTAAATATATTGTGATAAAGTATAAATTGGATATTCTATTCTAGATAATTAATGCTTTAACACTGTCACTTATTGTAGGAATCCTATGAAAAAATGAAATTACTCATTAGTAAAATAATAAAATCCTATCGACCTATCCTTTGTACGAACAAGTATGATACAAAATTCAAATAGTATAATTGAGTCATTCAAATATTCCATATAAAATAACTTCATTTGTGTAATTTATACAGAATGCATTTTAAAGTGCGCTTGAATTTTTCACTATATTATCCCGAACCATTTAATTCATGTACAGAAGTGTATACAATTCTCCCTCATCATTATTTATTGTCGTTAAGAAATATGTTTTTCAATGCATAATTCAACGCCCTTATCTTGGCCTGAACGGTCTGCTGAGATTTATGACCAGCCATTTTTATTGGTTGAAGATTATGGGTATTTATGGATGTGTATTTTAAATATCACCAGATTTTTCGTCTTTCCAGTTGCAATGTAACGTGACAATCATTGAAGGGAATCGCTAATTTAAAATGTAAGAGTAAATAACTTTATCTTAACAATAATATTATATGATCTATATATGATACGATATATTAACACGTAGACTGCCACGAGAATTTCGAACGTTTTGTGTAACAATACATATTCTTTCATAACAAAGATAAATGGTATTAAAAATAATTATTAATGACTTGGTATCACAGTAAACGTGTTACACTATCATCTACCTGTTTGTGTTATTAAGTATTTTTATTCGACATCAGTTTTCTTATTGTAATTGTATTTAAGCAATTTTGAATCTCCGGTTACCGTGGCAGTCAACGTGTTAATGTTCCTTAATTCGAATAAATATATACCTATACGAGGAAATGCAGAATTGGAACCAAATATATAGAGAAACAATTTTCTAAAATGTATTAAAAGAATATTTAAAACAGTACCTGGCCTGCAATGTACAAATACAAAAACAACGCAGGGTCAACCCAAAGATAACGAGGTGAATATTTCCTCAGAAAAGATGAAGTGTTGCTGCAACGATAACGACGAGGTAAAGGCCCGCTGTATGCACAGTCTGATTACGCGAACCTTTCGTCCTAGGAAATGTTTAGCCTCTGTTGTCCTGAAAACCGTCAGAAGAATACTGTTCTTCTCACGGTGCATTCCTCTTTTTCAAGCAGGTTACACGAACCGGTCTAAAAAGGGGTTGGTTATGCAAAATAGTCCGTTGTAAGTAGTTTTGTGGCTATTCGTGGATTTCCTACGGAATTTTCTTGGCGTATACCTGCTAGATTATTGAAAAGACTGAATAATTTTACCATAATAAGAACAAACACTCAATGCTCGCATGGGAAAAATATAAATAGACTAAACGGAGTTGTTCACGTAAATGAATGATTTCAAATTATTCGTAAAATATTAATTACACGAAAAAATGTCTGAAGCACGTATAGATCTTGAAATAGTAATTTTGAATTGGATTTCTTCGCTAATTTTTTAACAAGATGTTAATAAGTGTTTTACTTTATTTTTTATTTCCCGCAACCTTTTATAAAGGAAACAATTTTTCTCTTAATAGTTTCACAATAATGCAAAAAGATCTATATTTGCATGAAAACTCGTGAAGTAATCAACGAAACCTGCATCCATTTACAGCGCACGCAACTGAGTAAAGTACAATTAGTTAATAACTGTATTAATGTTTCACAAAGGGTTTCTTTCCTCATTTATCCATTGAAACCCAATAATTGAGATAATAATACTTTTTTCATTAGCTTACTCATAATGAATAAAAGAGAACCTTTTCAAACGAGAAAAAGTAATAAACGATGTTTAAATAAACATGAATTACATCGTTGAAATATATTCACCTAGAACAAACGAAAACAATTTATATTTTAGAAGACAATATTGAATTTATAATTTAAAAAAAGATTCGAATCTTATAGCCTCGTAACTTCACTACATTTGGCTTATTCTTTTTCATGGAATAATGAAAAACCATCAAATATTAAGAAATTGTCTTAACAGGCGTAATTCTATATAAATTTACTTTTTTTCAAAAATTAGCAACACAAATAATTTAGTTAATGAAATAATAATTAAAGAAATGAACCTAATAATCGATGTACATATGTATCTATCTTTTTCACAATAAATATTTTATTAGACGATAGAATCTATGTGCATATTTCTACACAACTAAAGTCTTCAAGTACCAGAAACAAAAGAAATGAAAAAATGAAAATACAGTACTTCCATTATTTTTTGCGGATTCGAGATTTCGTAGTCCAAAGACCCAAAGCCGACGGTCTTTCCTCGAGATTACGTTTAATCACAGGGTAGAAAGCC